TGTCATTTACACAGGTATAATTTAGGTGACATAATTGTTCTTTTACTGCTTCCTGACTTTCCTTGGCAGGCTTGGTGTAAATGGAAGAAGAACTTTGTGCCATGGGTCAAACCTGGCATGCACATACGAGCTTGATGATAAGCTTAGTTCACAGTAGATCTCCTCTTGATTTTCCTGTTTTTAGCATTGCAGCCACATGTAGTTTCTGGGGTTAGATCTGCTGTCCTCAGTCAAAGGCACAAGGCAATCCCAAGGACTTTAAGCATGTAAGAAGAGATAAAGTGACCACTGCAGTATAAAGTCAGCTATTACAGAGTCAGTATTAAAACATTCTCATTCAGAGGAATACTAGGGCATTCTCATGTGATATTTTCCCTTTAGAGTTTTTATATGCTTATAGGAGTGGAATTAAAATTTTTCACAAGTATGTAAAGCAAGGATTATAAGCACCAGAGCTGAAAGAAAAATTATGACTTACCTCTAATCCATAAATTTCATAAGGAAAATGTTTGTATGTTCAAAAGAAACATACCGCTTGCTATATATTAACTGGAATAGTCTCTACATTACCTTACAGGTTGTGTTTAATAATTAATCAATAGGATCTGCCATATCCCAAACCATATCACATCTTAATTTTATTTGTGCAGTATTGTCAGATTGCTCTGGTCATACTGTAATTCCAGAAATAAAGCTGCGTCTCCAACAGATTCCTGGGCAGAATAATAGTTTCAGTAGTGCGGCTTTTGCTTCAGCAGCTTTTGTGTACTTGCCAAATGATGGCATCAGACATTTTAATGGCTGCGTTTTCAGCATCATAATGGCAATCAATCTTTCCGTAAGCATCAAGTTTCCATGTGGTGTGTGCATGTATGGTAGCCATCTCTTGCAAATATTTGATTACACTGATGAAGGGGGAACACAGAGTAAGAAGTTTTTTTCTCAGTGGACTTGTGAGGAGACAGAGGCACACACTCTGTGTACAGTGCAAACATACAGAGACCTTCATTGTTTTTAACACTGAGACTTTATACCATCTTCAAAGCTATGTCAGTAAGCATGAGTTAGGCTGCGTTATAATAATTTGTTACAGGGTATTATGCATTTGATGTTCACACACTCTAGTCTATACATTGATAGGCTAAGCTAAAAGATTAACTCTACCGTTCGCATCCCGGTTATCAATCCTTTAGTTTTATAGTTCTTGCAACTCTGCATTTTCTTGTTTACCAGCTGCCAACATTCTTCAATTGTTCTTTTATTCTTCAGTCAAGGACATCGTCGAGCTGAAATGTCCATTTTCTGCCAAAAAGCTCTCCACAAACTTGTTCAATAAAGCAGTGTACTCTGAGTACTGTCTCAGCCATATAGTGAAACAAATATGCCACCAAATCTGTAAGGTCTTGAAAGTTCTATCACAAATTACTTCTTTTACAGATTTCTAATTTTATAACAGTTATAAAAATGTTTCCTCAATAGTCTGTACTAAAATCAAGCTGATATTAAGTGAAGTAGTTTTGAATCACATATAGAAAAGCTCTATTTTGCTTTATCACTAAGAGATAAATACATCTGCAGTTCTATAACATGAGGCTTAATAGTTTTTTCATTTTAGGTTTCTGTGGATCTAAAATAGTGGTGGATTGAAAGGATGAAGACAGGGAAGGAAAGTAGGTAGGTAATGTTAAAATCATTCGTCCTCTTCTATTAAAGACAGTCAAGAGGCTGCACCTTTTTGCATCATGGCGTGTGGCCATCACTGTGCAGCTATGCAGCCTTGCGTCCAGACTGAGACCCTGCATGGCTCAATAATGCAAATCTATTTTTCTTAGTTTCTTATACTCAAAAGCTTTGTATTCATAAACGTAATGGGTTAAGAATTTTCAATTTAGTTGAGTTTCTGGGTATGTAGGTACTATTTTTTTTTCTATTTCCCCCCTCTTTTTTCTGGTCTCCTGGTTGAGAAAAAATAGTAGTTACTGTCGCTTCCTTGTCAAACTGAGTTATGCTTTTCTCATCAACACTTCATTTTCATATTGTTCCTCTTCTTGGTTCACCCTTTCTCTCCTAGATGTATCTCTTTAAAATTCAGAGTTCTTTATATTTATGGGGCAGACTTTGGAAGCCTACACAGCCACTGCCCATGATGTGTTGAGTTCATGGAGCATTAGAAGCCTTCTCTTCTAGCTGCCAGCAATACAGATGCCATCCTGTAATTACTGTGTTCTCTTTAAAACAGAGAGAGAGAGAACATAATTTCCACTTCTATCAGTGTGATATCTAGTAAAAATCATTAACACTAATCATAATCAACATTCTGTACAGTGCATTAATAGTTTGTCTGATACTGGTTCATTAAAAAATACATAGCCTTGAGTTTGAAAAGTCCTGGGCAGTTTATACTTAGTGTGCAGCTAAAAATATTTCCTGCTTTAGCAGTCATCTTTGTCACAGATGTTAGGTAAATGTACTCTGATAAAAAAGCCAGGTACCTGTATGAGTGAGAGTGGATTTTAATTTCTTGATTACCCTGACACGAAGCTGAGAGGCAAGAAAGATCCAGGACAAACTTTACAGAAGATACTAATTAGGGAATACAGCAAGTGAACTAAAACAATGTAATAAAAGATTGCATGAAAGAAATATATAGGCAGGGTAGACTTATAAACTTAACAGAAGGGAAAACAACTTATTACTGATTGTTTCTGCATTCTAGCTAAAGAAATGTTAAAAAAAATGCTAGTAAGTAGTCCAACTGTTAAGGCTAAGTCTTCCCTAAGTCATCTTAAGATTCAGATGGTGAGCTGTAGGAGATTAAAAATTCAGTGCATCTTGAAGTGTAAACATCTGAACAAGCATGAGATCATCCCAGAGGAGCAGTGCCTGAGCACACATCCCTTCTAGGGGTTATTATCTAATTACTAATATAAAGCTGCATTACTACAAATCAAACAGGAAACTATGTTAAAAAAACAGACTTTTCATCCTGTCTCTAGGCCAACTAGATCCAGTCTTTAGCCTAATTTTTATACTTTGTACGAATGAAACAAATCTGATCTTTTTTTGTACTCAAATTCCCTGCTGCTTTGTTTCTCTTTCCCATGATACAATCTTGAAATAGCTTAGCCCTAAAGATGTAGCTTCTTAATTTATAAGATATTAGAAGTCCTTTTAAAAGCTCTTTAACAGTCTTTTCACACGGCTACTTATCCACTAGCACTGCTTGGATAGACTTCATTCTTATTTCTACTCTAGATGGAATATTTTTGCTATGTGCTTGCACAACACTTAGTCTTACAGCTTTGTTCATGACTTGTGCCTGTTGATACTGTTCAGTTTTCAAAATCTGGAGTTGTAATGGGGTCAGCAATCAATACAGAACAAAACACAGCAAGGACAAGAGTAAAGAGAAGCAGACAAAACCTAGAAAATTATCAAAAGAACAACAAGAAGAGGCTCACATGATGAGGAAAGTTGGATTTCCTTGCAAAACTGTTCACAAGTGTAAAAGCATTATAAGGAAGGAGTGAAATTTTGAGAATTGAAAGTGGGTAAAAAATTGGAACAAGAAAGCAAAGCTTTTCTTTTAGAAAAAAAAAAAAAGGCAAGAAATGAAGCAGCTATTGCTACCTGCAATAATGCCTGGAACACTGGGACAGGAATATAACCCAGTGGATAGGAAAACACTGGGTATGGGAGACTAAACCCTGTGAGCCTTGAGACCAGACATAGACAAACTTCAGTGTCACAAAGGACATTTGGCTAAATAAAAAATAAGGACATTTTAAGGATTAATGATGAATGAAGTGACATCTCCTATTGCCTGTGAGAAACTGGAAGAATATTCCACTGGCTTTCAGACCCCAAAGCTAACCAACATGTTTTCATTCATGTATGATTGCCACTATTTTTGTGTAGTTTGGTGTTTCAGAACCTCTCCAAAGTAGAAAGTAAAATATTAAACATATCAATGTTGATTAGCAAATACTTGACTAGGCAATTTAATGCTGTTGGAGGGAGAATGCACAACAATTCCATCGTCTGACCACTGAGAATACCCCAGATCTGCAGAGCAACTTTTAAGCTGTCATTCAGCATCCTTCCCTTTATGATCTCAGTTGCTGTTGCTTATCCAGCAATATGTCAGGCAGTAAAACTTGGTGATTGTAGAACTGGCATATATTTCACTACAGAATGAGCTATGAACAAGCTATGGAATTTATAACTTAAAAGCAAATATAAAAATGTGAAGGTGTGACTAGTTTATGGGACAAAAGCTAAAATGGAGAAGTCAAAGTAGGAGAAGCTTTATTTGTGAACTTAAAATTGTAATTGACTGTTATGGACACCAGTGAAACACTTTTTAAAAATTATTAAGAGTCTTGTCAACTCTGATTTTTCCAAGCAAGTGATATTTATACACTTAATTATGTAATATTCTTTGAGGTATGAAAACCAAACTGTATTAGAAATTGAAGAAGACAGTTTTTATGAAGGTATCTTGAGAAGGTAATTTCTAACAGAACTTGATATAACTCTGAATCTTTTGAATTATGCTAATTTCCCCAGTTTCTTTAAACGAGTTTGTAATTTGTTGGAACTGAGCATGCTTGACTGTGGTTCAGGGAGGAAAATATCCCTATCTGTTGATTTTGATAGTGAGAGATCAAGCCTTTGAAGGGGAGCTCTTTTCTCACTACTAACAGGGAGACCCTGCCACCTAGTACATTTTCTCCAGTAGGAACAATCTTATTTATTTTTCTGTTGTAATTTCTTCCTGGGATTTGCAGGGTGCCGTTGAGTAGTTTTTACTTAGATCCTATATGATACAGCTAAAATGAAACATTGTATTGTAAGGTTTTTTCAGTCTGAAAGGTTTTAGGATATAGTAAGATTCAGTGCAGAGTACCTCTGTTACTTGGAACCAATGTTTTCAGGAAGGTAATTTTATTTTAAGAAAGAAAATTATTTTTTATTATGAAGATAATTGTGACTAGGGAGTCTCTGTGGCGCAATTGGTTAGCGCGTTCGGCTGTTAACCGAAAGGTTGGTGGTTCAAGCCCACCCAGAGACGGTTGCTTCTCTTTCTTCTGCCCGTGACAGGGGGATTGGAACTAGATGGTCTTTAAGTTAGTTCCCTTCCAACCCAGATCATTCTATGCAACTGCAGAAAACAAATTCTTTGTTAACATCAGGCTCATTAAAACACTAGTTTGCTGAAGTATCAGCAATGGATTAACAGACCCAAATATTTCCATGGGTCATTATTTAAATATGAAATTGCATAGAAATAGTTTAATTTAAGCAGAATATTACAGAGTGTTCCTTAGGGCTCACGTTGTTCTGTCATATCTGCTTGTCTGCATGGTGCTCTGTTGTGTTGGTGTGAGCTCTATGTATTCTTATGATTTTGAAATGTAAACATATATATATACAAACTATCAACATGGGCTACTGTGCACCTTAGGTTTAGCAAAGATTGGTCATTTAGGAATTAACAGATAGCTGAGTAGTCATGCCAGTTCCAGAAAATTCATGTAAAAGCCTGCTGAGTTGGAATCTGCAGGACAGCTGTTAATGTTTGCTTCTAGCTTTAAATCTCCTGGGCATGTCACACTTTAATAATTGCTAAACCCTAAAACCAGAACAAATCCATATGCAGTGAAACCACTGAAGCCCATATCCTTCAGCAGGTCTCTCTTGTTATCATTTTATGAGTCAGCCCTTATTTCACAGGGAAAACTGATGGGGCTCTCTCCACTGCCCATCTGACTGTTTTCCTGATGTGTACAAGAATTTAATCTTTTTGAGATGTCTTCCTTTCTATAGTGCTGGAGCATAAGGATCTAAATACTAGGAAAGAGGCAATCAAAATGCTAGTTTCAAAGCCGAAGGCAAAAACTCTAGCATACTATCGACTTGGGAGCAGGAAGGAGACATTTAGCTGGTAAAGAGGTGAGCCAAGAAAAAATGCTGGCCTTGATCTATGTGCAAAAGAGCAGCTAATAAAACCAGAGATCTTTGGTCTGGCTTTGACAGAGCGTTTCCACTCTACAAATAAGGCTCCCGTCTTAAAACACCTTCTGTTTTTCAGAAGATGGCTCTATGTCCTCAAGGTGGCAGAAGAGTGCAAAGCAACTTGAAAACAGGAAAGACTTCCCAGCTGTTTTTCAACAAACTTGATGTAGATCATATCAGATAATCAGTTTAAAATTGTTATTTTTTAGAAGATCATGCTATTATAAATTTCAGAGCTTCAGATAGTAAAAGGCTATAAGTTTAACTGAAATATCTATTAAACCACGTTAAGAAGCAAGTGAAAGGGTCAATAGGAATTAATTCTTCATGTTCTGTTTGAACAGCGCACTATCGTGTTTGTGACAAAGTAAAGGAGTAGTTTAGACAAAGCCCACAGAAGACAGCTACTGAGTTGTTGCATATGACATTTCTGCTGTATTTATGTAGAATTAACATAGAGAACAGGTTTATACACTAATCTTCTGAAGCAGCGGATAAGGAGAATATAAGAACATTGATATGGACCTGTAAAGAAAGTGAGAGAGAAACTCAGTTAATCCAAAGGTCAGTCACTGGCCTGTAATTTTATTAACAAAGTAATCACACCTGGAATAGATACCCAACTCTTATTACGAAGAAGTGATCTGTGAGATCCTGATCTACAGAGAACAGTAAAGGCTGTGGAGATGGTAATAGCATTGTATACAGGGCCAGAGAAACACTGGCTTAAACATGAACAAGGTCTTAGAAACAATATTGTTTACTATTGGACATGCTTGTCAAAATGCATATTTAATGAGTAAACCGACCAGAGAAGGTGCCCTGCTGGATCTCCTCTTTATGAACAGAGAAGGACTGGTGGATGACATGGATGTTGGAGGCCGACTAGGGCACAGCGATCATGAAATAATAGAGTTCTCTATTCTTAGAGAGGCCAGCAGAGGGCTAAGCAGGACTGACATCCTGGACTTCTGAAGGGCTGACTTTGTCTTGTTTAGGCACCTGCTTGACAGGATCCCCTGGGAGACTCTCCTGAAGGGTGTAGGGGCCTAGGAAGGCTGGGCACTCTTTAAGAAGGAAGTGTTAATGGCTCAGGAGCAGGCTGTCCCCAGGTGCTGTAAGAGAAGCTGACGCCGGAGAAGACCACCCTGGCTGAACAGGGAGCTTTGGCGGCAACTCAAGGAGAAAGGGAGAGTTTACAGCCTTTGGAAGAAGGGGCTAGCCACTCACAGTGATTACAGAGAGGCTGTGAGGCTATGCAGGGTGGAAATCAGAAGGTCTAAAGCCCAACTGGAAATTAATTTGGCAAAAGAAAGTCCAGGGATAGTCTCCATCCCCTGCTAGATGCAGGAGGAAATATGGTAACAAGTGATGAGGCTGAGGTGCTTGATGCCTTCTTTGCCTCAGTCTTTAATAACAAGATTAGTTGTATTGATGAAATCCAGCCTCCACAGCCAGAATACAGAGACTGGGAGAACGACCCCCCCCACCCCCACCCCCCACCCCCATTCCAGGAGACAGTCAGTGACCTGCTGCATCACATAGACACACACAAGTCTATGGGACAGGATGGGATACACCCGAGGGTGCTGAAGGAGCTGGCTAG